GTTTAAAGTCGTGCGACCTTACAGTAGTAGAGGTCGCACGGCTTCCACACACTTTACGATAATCGTACGATCGCGGGATTTCCCGCGATTATCGTACAATTATCGTAAGGTGTGTGGGCACCCTTAGAAATAAAACCACCTGACTGTTTCTTGCTATCTTTTGGGGACTCTGTCAGTGAGAACTCTGCTGAGTTCAGATTATATGTTCTAGGGATGCACCGATACCAATACTAGTATCAGTGTCGGTGCCAATACCGAGTATTTGGGCGAGTACTCGTACTTGCCCAAATGCTCCCGATAACGAAACTTCAGGAAGCTGGGGGTCGAGTCATTACACGTCGCCTGGCTTCTCGATTGGCCGGGAAGCCGGCTCTATGCTCTCTCGTCTTCACCAGGGAGCATGGAGCTCGCTTCCTGGCCAATCAGGAAGCCGGGCGGCGTGTAATGACTCGAAGCCCAGCTTTCAGATTAGTCAGAAAGCTGGCCAATCAAGAAGCCGGGCGACGAGACATTACCCGCCACCTGGCTTCCTGATTGGCCAGAAAGCCGGCTCCATGCTTCCTCGTCACCTTGTGATGAGGGAGCATGGAGCCAGCTTCCCAGCCAATCAGGAAGCCGGACGGCGTGTAATGACTCACCGCGGCAGCGTCTGTGGAATCTCCCAGGCAGGGTTAAAAGTAACCCTGCCGCTCCGTGTACACAGTGAGGGGGAGAGCAGTCTTCTCCTCTCAGCTGTGACAGGAGTTCCAGCACAGTGCTGCGCTAGAGCTCCTGTACTGGAGGTGACAGGGTCAATAAAGAGAACCTAGAAAAAATGGTACATGCATGAATCTATAACCGGCCTTTATAGCAGGGTGCACATTGGGAAGGCTTGCAACAATACAAAACACAAAAATTCCCCAGCCTCAGCCTGCCAGCCAGCCTGCAACCAAACAAATAGCCCTGTCAACAGTATGCGTTAAAATCAGAGGTTTTAGTTGCACAAACTTTTGGCCAAAAATATGTAGAAGCCACACCGCCGCGCCAAGGCACCTCTGCAAAGTGTGGTCCTAACTCTATCTATACGAGTCTCCAAGTGTGAGCATATTAATGAAGTCGATAAATTACATGCAGGTGTACCTGGAGGTAGCCAACTCCTCCTAATAAGGTGCAGGGACGCACTGGAGGCCCAGCAACCAATAATAAAGAGAACCTGTCACCTGTCAGAAACAATAAAAAAATTTAAATTAACCCTGCCGCCCCTGCTATCCGGTTGGCATTCTCCAATAAGCCCTCATTCTAGTGTGAATGGGGGCTTAATGGTCCATTCACATCACATCAGTTGAGCTGCCTTGACCTGCACAGATCAACACCAGGCACATAGGAAATAGTTGTTTTCTACGCAGGGCCGGCATTAGGGGTGTGCGAGCTGTGCGGCTGCACAGGGCTCCATGGCAGCAAAGGCGCCAGGCGGGCGACACAGCTCGTCCTCGGGGCGGATTCTCTCCTCTTCACCGCTGGCCATCCGACATGACAGCGCTCCCTCGTCCGCCCCCAGTGTCCCCAGTTATGATTTACATCACAGCCTGTCCATTCAGGATTTCTCAATGGGGAGAAGCACTCAGTACAGAGGCTCCTCCCCATTCAGAAACTGCTGATAGTAAATATTTTACTATCAGTTTCTGAATGAATGGGAGGAGCCTCTGTACTGAGAGCTTCCCATTCACTGAGTGCTGAGGATGCTGGAAAAGAAATTGAGGTGTTGGTGTCCTCATTTTCTTTTCTATTTTAAAAGGGAAATGTCAGGGGTCTGTTTGGACCCCTAACATTTCCCCGGAGCCCCCCGACAGTACAAAATAAATAATACAAAAATAATACAAAATGTAAAAAATTATTTTAAAAAGTAAAAACTGCCCCCCTTGCCCCCAACACACACACACACACATACACATATATTATTAGACATGTGCGAAGACTAAAAATTAATTTCAGATGAAATGACCGAAAACTAAAAACGTTTCATCAAACAAAACAAATTTTTATGCTATTTTGGATTCAGCCATTGGCGTGTTCTGGAGGCAGGGCTCATGACGTCATATGACACGTGTTGGGTGCCGCCATCTTGGTGTATATCTAGGTATACACCAAGATGGTGGGGCCAATATCGGCGTGTGACGTCAACTGACTCCACGCATGCATGGCGTCATGTAACGTCATGCTGCCCGCCTCCAAGATGGTGGCACGCATTCACAGAACATGCCGGTGGCCAACATGGTCGCCGCACATTCTCAAACAAATTATCATGTGCCTGAATAAATTTTTCGTATATTCGGACATTCATACATTTTACATGTAGTCCAGGTTTTGTGTTCTGTTTTCTATTTTTACTTTTCTATATATACTTACTTGAAAAAAGGGATCGGCATGACATCCTGACACTTTATTTTTATAGACTCTATTGTAGTTTGACATTTATTGTTTACCTTCTGTTGTTTTATTTGATAAGAATACTTATATTGTGCCTAAAAGTTTAATATCTTTGAATAAAAGTTTTATTTTTATCATACTTTTTAATATGTTTCTTTGCGGCTTAACAAAATAGGAGTCTTTAAATGATGCGGATATTGGGGGAAATGGGTGTGGTTACTGGGGGTGTGGCCACTGAGGGGTGTGGTCACTGAGGGGCGCTGTAAAGCTTTCTCACATAGGGTGCCTAAAGGCCTAAGGCCGGCCCTGTATTTACCAACAACGGAAAATAAAACTGAATGAACTGGCCCATAGCCAGCACACTCGGGAAAGTCCATTGCTTTCCATGGTAAATAACTCTTTTTTTTGTACAGTAACTGGAAATGTCAGAAGTAGACGTAGAAGATATAGCAAGTTAAATGTTTTTTCCTGGATAGTCCTATGCTGGGCTCCCTCTAGTACAGCAAATGCTGCCCCCTTCCATCTGCCTACATCACTATGAGTATATTATACTGCACGTGCCATAGCAAAAAGTGGCCTTAAAGTGACATGGTTACAAGCAGTCTCCTCCTATACCCTAGCACAGATATGCCACAGTCCTTGTACCCACAAAATACTCTGTAAGGGTTCATTCACATCACCTCAGTTGAGCTGCCTTGACCTGCACAGATCAACACCGCTCAACACCGGGCACATAGGGAACAATTGTTTTCTACGTTACATGTTTACACCACAACACTGGGTTGTGGTGTGTTGTGTAAAACTACAGACATGCTATTTCACAGTGCACTTTCACTTCACCTCATATTCAGTTCTGCTGTGGTGCATAGGGCCTCATTCACACTGTAATTGGCCGGCACGTACAGCTCCGTGCTGCGTGCACGGCGTATCGGGCAGCTCCCGGGAAGGACAGGTGCTGCGTGTGATTAGTACGCAGCCCCTGTCCTTCTCTATGGGAGCATGTGGCCGTACGCCGCCCTATGCTCGCCTCAAGTGCAGGTCCGTACGGGTGCGTGTGTCCCAGCTCGGACGCAGACAGGATCCATCCTGTCAGCGTACGAGTACGCTAACCCGCACGGACAGCGTAGGGGGGCGTACGGCTGCGTACTCCCATAGAGAAGGACAGGGGGTGCGTACTAATCACACGCAGCACCTGTCCTTCCCGGGAGCTGCCCGATACGACCGCACGGAGCATGGAGCTGTACGTGCCGGACGATTCTCGTGTGAATGAGGCATAGAAGTGAATGAAATGTCACCATTGTGTAACAGAATGGTGCTCATAGTCACTCCAATGGATGGTGCTGTGTGACAAGACAAATAAATGTGATATCTGTGTTTTTGGCCCAGGGGCAAGTACAACCCAGAGGCGCATGGGGCAGCAACTTGGCCCCCCTCCCGCTCTCCCTCTTCCCCGCCTTCTCCCCGTTCCTGTCTGCCACTTTTGCCATCCATGTAACAGTAGTGTGAATGTATTTATCGGTTTAGGAAATTTAAAGCACACGGGTAGTGGAGGGATGCCTTGTCAGGGCTGTGCGTGTGCATGACTGCTGAGACCCTGGTAGTTCTGCCACTTACTCAGAAATACATTGTACAGCATTGCAGAATGGCATTGGCTATAGAGAACTACAATTCAAAGCAATACATTACACAACAATGCAGAATACCAACAGCTATAGAGAACTACAATTCCCAGCAATACCATTATATAACAATGCAGAACAGCATCAGCTATAGAGGACTACAAATTCCAGCAATAGTACATTATAGCTGGTGGTATTCCACATTGCGCTGTATAATATATTATTGCTGGGATTTGTAGTCCCCTATACAGCGCAATGCAGAATACCACCAGCTATATAGGAATACAACAAATCCCAGCAATACATTATACATACATTGTATAATGTATTGCTGGGATTTGTAGTCCTCTATAGCTGATGGTATAATATACAGTGCAGCGCAATCTACCATCAGCTATAGAGGACCACTAATCACAGCAATTCATTATACAGCACCATGTGTGGGAAAGTGCAGGCTTACCTGAGCAGTCTTCCAGCAACTTGTTTCTGAGATCGGGCCTGTCTATCAGCGGCTGTCATCCCCTCACACCTGCTCATCCTTACTTCTTCTGCACACGTCCCTGTGCCGATCGTGGATGTGGGCAGTGTGCGTGAGGTGGGGAGGAGAAGCGGCGTGTGCAGTGTGGATGCGGGCTGGTGGGTCTGGCAGCAGCAAGGGTGAGGCGGGGAGGAGGTGCGGCATGTGGAGCGTGGATGCGGGTCTGGCAAAAAGATTTTATGTTCCCGGGAATAATATGTCCCCGGATTTTGTTTTTTAAATTGTTTCACCTTACCTTGGCCTGGTGGTCAATGGGGGGCTCCATGGACCCTGGTTGTGGGTGGGATCTGCTGTGGCCGCAGCTGCAGTGGCTCCCTCCGCCTCACTGCCACCTGCACCCAGCCCGCATCCAATGCGGCTTTGCGATTGGCGGCCGCTGCTCCTCAAGGGGGTGCTCGGGAGGCCCCAGCGGGCGGCCCTCTAACATGCCTGATTAGGGGGCCGCGTCTGTATCCGGCTACCTGTCCTATCCCCGCTTCTTTTGCGGCCGCCTGGTGGAATGCTGCGAGGAGAATGCATTGAAAAGTACAGGTGAGACTGGGAGGAGGGGAGCCTGTGTGCAGGTCAGCCCTGGAACTACAAGTCCCAGCATGGTGTGTGTTTGCTTTGATTTTTTTTGGCCAGATATTTCTCTATAAACATCTAAACTTCTGATTATTAAAGTTTGTGTACAGCCCCAACTTTTTTTTTTTGTAGTATTGGATAGTGTGGGGAAGGATTAAAACTGTCAGATTTATTTTTGTAGCCTGTGTACCAATGGGGAGATTTTCCTTCACTTCCTGCTCCAGAGACCCAACAGGAATTGAGGGGAGTTCCTTTCTAATGCTGGTTTCACAAGGGTGTTCTGTCAGTCCATTGACCTGTGATTGCAGGGATCAAAAACAGGCTGCAGTACATCCCTATGGATAGCCGGTTGTATACAGACGTGTGTTCGCCTATAGCCAACTGCTTCCTGGTTCGTTTAGGTTAGTCAGTTAAATGCCAAAAGAGATTGTGGCCGGGTCTGCTTTTACTGACCCGGGCAGATATACGCGGCCACCCATAGTGATTACACGGATCCCAAGATGGAGAAAAAAAATAGGAACCGATCTGACTCAGGAGGGGAAACGTCTGGGATAACCTGCTATGACGGAATGGATGACGCTCGTGTGAAAGGGGCAGGTGTCCCCATTAGAAGGTTTCCCCTCTCCTTTTATTCTTGTGACACCTCTACAATTGTGTATTTCACCTGGCTTTCTTTCTGGGTGGTCACCAGTACAGATAGAGAGGGGGGGTGGGCATACAGACCACAATAATAACTGAAAACATTGACTTTTGTTGAACATGCCGACAGGGCCACGCACAGCCTAATGTTAGATAAATTTTTGGTAATGATCACATATCTCCTAGTTTGAGAGATTTCCCCTCACTTCCTGTTTTGCTGACACAGGAAATGAGGGAAATTCTCCAAAATTATCCGCTTGCCGTCAGCCCGATGTGAAAAAATGGACGGACGGCAAACTCACATTGGCGGGTTGGCGTCAATAGACGGCTTTCTTTTTCTGCTCGTGTGCGCCCCTCCTGCACCCTCACCTTCAATCCCGGGATCCGCTGTCCTATCTGCGGCCCGGGACCGGCTCGGAGGGTGTCAGGAGGAAGATGGGAGGGAGATCAGCATCTTCCTCCTTGCTGAGCTCCCTCCCATGTCTGAATGCGGAAGTGATGTGTACTACATCACTTCCGCATTCACCTGTCAGTCATCTGGCTGCTATAGCCAGAGAAGAAGCTGATGAAGCAGATCTACGCGCATATAAACAAATATGCGTCAGATGCGCTTGCGCGCGAAAACCACAATCGCGCTACAAATGTTACATATCGTCGCGAACGTCGCAGTGAGAGCAATACTTTTAGGGCCATCAATCACTGATAACACTAAACCGATGAGCGGTAAAAGCATTTAAAGTGTCGCCTATGGCCAATTTTGGGTATTGTAGTTTTTTGAGGTTTTGCGGGCGCGCGCAATTTTAAGGCCCTGACACTTGATACCACTATGCACTCGGTCTTACGATCTCTAACCCAGACGATGTATTTTGCTACTGGGTGAGTCACACTTATATATGTGCTGTTGGGAGTCACTGATGTTTTATTAGATATGTCTGGTATTTCCATCATTCTGCACACGCCCTTTTCAAATACCTAACGGCAGGTCTGACGTCATACCGACGCCCTAGGTGGATGGGAGTTGTTTCTAGGTATATACACTGAGTGGCCAGATTATTATGACCACCCCATCAGTACTTCGTTGGGCCGCCTCGTGACTCCGCGAGATGTTGAAAGGTGATGCGAATTTTTTTTAAAAAAACGTTTCGGTAATTTTTCCTTAATATATTAAGAAATAAAACCCCCAGTGGTGATTAAATACCACCAAAATACAGCTCTATCTGTCCCCCCAAAAATGGTATAAAATGTATTTCAGTACAGCGTTGCATGACGGAATAAATGTCAGGGAAAGTACCGCAGCGCTGAACACTGAAAAATGGCCTGGGCAGGAAGGGGGTTTAACACCGTGGACTTTAAGTTGTTAAAGAAATATTTTTGGCTGAAGCTTTGCTTTATTATGTCCTGTATTCTTTACGTTAAAGGAGAACTATGGGGTCAGTGTTTTTCCCCATAGTTCTCCTTAGGGTAACAGGAGGACACAAACTAGCGTCCTCCCGTTACCCTAAGCTCAGTATACCGCGAGCTACAGCTCGCGGTATACTGAGACGCCGGAGCGGATCCCGACGTAGATGACGGGATCCGCCCAGCTGCGTGAGTGACAGCTGGCTCTGCCTATCTAGAGGCAGAGCCAACTGTACCCGCCCCTTCCCCCGTCCGTTCCACCAGTCAGCGCTGGCAGATCGGAGCGGGGAGAGGGGAATCCAGCCCCTCCCCCTGTCACGGCAGTGAGCCGTGACAGGATCGGAAGGTGAGGGAACCTGGTATGTGTTCGCTCACCTCCCGATCTACTGAGCCAACCTGTGACAGTCTCATTGTCACAGGTCGGCTAGAACTATGAGGTGAGTGAAAAGCACTCGCCTCATAGTTCTTCTTTAAGAAGGGAGACTCAATCTGGAAATGCTTTTTGCTAATTGTTCTTGTGGCAGCATTTCCTGTTGAGGAGACCGGTCACTGCAAGCAGTTCTCTGTGCTCTGGTTGGCTGGTCACCTCAATGCATCATAATAATTCTGATCGGGCAGCAGTGTGGTCATCATATCACCCTGAAATATGAGGAATGGTGAATGTCTTATCCCTGCCTTCCTAATGCGGTGATGCTGAAGGTAATGAGAAGAAGTTCTCTTCTCCCCTGTCATCACATACCCGACTACTGCTCCCAAAAACTGTGCACACATTGAGTGCATGCTGAGGGCTCATGGGAGATGTAGTTCTGCAGGATGCGCTTACTTCATATGTGTTATAGGCCACTCGGCAGGTTTCTTACAGTGCTTTTTTGGAAGAAGAAAATGGATGAAGCTGGGTGATGATATGACTTGGACTTCTGTCACTATAATAGTCCCTATAATAGTCCCTATACTTTGTAGTGGGGCAGGAGGGGGCGTGGCGGGCCATTGCAGTGAATGGCACCGTAGCAACGCCCTCTGGCCGCACGGGTTCGCAAGACACATTATGCTTCCGGTCCGGTGCGATCAAAATAGTGCTTGCAGCAGGCATAATGTGCCTCGCGATCCCGTGCAGCTGACCGCATTGCGGTCGGAGGGCGTGGCTACGGTGCCATTCACTTCAATGGCCCGTCACGCTCCTCTCGTGTCCCACTAAAAAGTGAGCTGGCCACAATGCAATGCAGTGCGTTCTGGCCAGAATCAGGGCGGAACGCATTGCAACTGGTGTGAACGAGGCCTAAAGGAACTTTCTTAGTTTTCATAAAAATATTAAAAAATAAATAAAAAATTATTTATTATCATTATTATGATGTTATATTTGCATTTCATTAGCCTGATGTTTCACTGTGATGCTTCTTATTTTTATCAGCCTTCAAGGAAGATTTGAACAATAAACTGTTTGGCCAGCACCTGGCCCAAGACGTCATCTTCCGAGCGGTCACAGGATTTATGAAAAATGAAAACCCCCAAAAGCCCCTGGCCCTCTCCCTGCATGGCGGAACCGGAATCGGCAAGAACTTCATCAGCAAAATCATTGCAGAGAACATTCACCAGAAGGGGATGAGCAGCAAATACGTCCATCTTTTTGAGTCAACCATGCATTTCCCCCACAACAACCTGGTTCCCCTCTACAAGGTGCTCTTACATCTGCAGAGCTTGCGCACATAATATCAGAGTTCCAAGAACTTGCTTGAGCAGTGCTCTCTATATTGCTACTGGAACTGACTGTTTATGGTCAGACGGAAGGCAGATTTAGTTAGTTAACCCCTTCGTGACTGACGACGTACAGTGTACATCGCCAGCATTGGGGCTGTTTAAACAGACAAAGCCGCCGGGAGTCTGTTTAAACTTGTAAAGCCGACTGTCGGCTTTACAACAGAAGCTATTCTGGTGACTTACCTGTCGCCAGATCGCTTCTGTGTCCCGAAGAAGGGGCCGCCCCCCCGCCGTGCTTCCCGTGCTCAGTTGCCCCTCCTACGGGCCCGGGACCGGCGTCCTTGGTGTCCGCGGGGAGCTGGGGAGGAGTCCGATCATCTTCTTCTTTCCTGTAGTTTATAGCTGTCCCTCCAGTGCTGGGTGCGGGTCTCTGATCCAGCGCTGACTCCTCTGTCCTCCTCTTCTCATGTTCACGGATTCTGTGCGGGTGCACGCTGCTCCATAGACTTCTCCCAAACATCTGAACTGCGCATGTGCCCGCCCCAAGATCCTTTGCGGCCGTCCGAGAAATGTTTTCCGACAGGAGCGCACGGCGGGGACACAGGTAAGTATTAACCCTTTCAAAAAGTTGTTGTTTTTATTTATTTTTAATCGTTTTTGCATATATCTACTCCTCGCTAGCAGTAGATATATGCAAAAACAAATGAGGGTTTAATAACCCTTTAAGGCAGGGGTAGGGAACCGCAGCACTTCAGCTGCGATGAAACTACAAGATCCTGACAACCACATGCATGACTCCAAGCTGCGTGATGGGATTTGTGGTTTCAGCACAGCTGGAGTGCACAGGTTACCTAAACCTACCTCAAGGCCTTTGCAGACCACTAACAGTGTAACTAAATCTATCTGCCGAGGACATCGCCACCTTAGCCTCTGTTTAAATGTATATCAAAAAAAGGGGGAAAGAGAAAGAAAGGGGCTTTGTGGTGACCACTGGAGAATAGCAGGGAATTGATCCAATAATAAAGTAAATTGCTTCATATATATAATAAAATTCCATTTTTTTTTAAATTATTTTTTTATACTCAATTCATAATGTCTATACATATAAATATGCTAAAATTCATCCATATAAAAAAACATAAATAGATGTATACACCATAAATAACCTCCCTGGAACCCACACAGAAACCATGATTATAAATTCATATATTGGTCATTGCCCTCATTGTATTCATATCTTATTTGCATGATTGATCTGTTTAAATGTGCCGCTGCCTGGTTCCGCTACATGTGATCAGATATGACATCAACCATTTGGGGGCTCCAAAGACTATTTGGGAGCTGACATTAGCACGCTGGCAAATGTCACAGGTATCACCACGCTTGATATATTGGTACAGACTGATAATAATATTCGAGGTCCTCTTTATCTTTCAGGATCAGATACAGTCGTGGATTCGTGGAAATGTCTCCAGCTGCCCTCGTTCCATATTTATATTTGATAACATGGATGAGTTACATCCAGGTCTTATCGACACAATCAAGCCGTTCCTGGACTATTATGAGCAGATAGATGGCGTGTCATACCGTAAAGCTATTTTCATTTTCCTCAGGTACCAACCGATAGATATTGACCTCTGACTTCCCTGATCTGCTTACTTGTTGTGATCAGTGACTCAAATAGTTATAAAGACAGTGGGTCAGCATAAGAGCCAGGGAGAAGATCTTGAACTGAGCGATTAGAGAGTAGTGACTGTCAGGCATTGCTCCCCAGAAGGATTCCTCCTTTCCTTCTCTGTTCCTCCTGAGCTGTTTGGAGGGACAATCAGGGGAAGGAGTGGGCACAGCAGGCTCTTCCTCTAGAGCAGGCCTTCTTAAACTTTCTCCACTCATGACCCCTTTTTGGCTGGGGAAATTTTTAAGGGACCCCAGCATCGAACGGTCTCTCTCCCCCGTCGGTAGGTGTCTCCCCCCCTTCTCCAACTCCCCCCCCCCTTGTAAAAAAGCGGCGGTCAGTGTCTCTCTCCTCTTCTCTCCCCTCCTCCCAATGTCAGTCTGTGTCTCTCTTCCTCCTCCTGCTCCCCCCCTCCCAGCCACAGCCGTGGACGGACGGTCAGTGTCTGTCATTACCAACTACTACCACTAACCCCCCTCTCCCTCCTTACCGTTACCTCCAGCAGCTGTGCTCCACTTCTGGGTTGAAGAAAGCTCTGTCAATGGAAAAAAAAAACCTTCCTGCCTGCACGTGCTCAAGAAGGTACTAGGTTCACAGGGGGGGCCGCGACCTTAACAACTACACTACACTGCACATTAACCATTAAACGAAAAAAAAGATTCTTGCTTGGAGCCCTGGCCGCTTGGGCCCCTCACCCAAGTACCGGCCATACCCCACTGGTGGCGGTCCTGGCCGGTGATTAAGATTGCGACGCCCTCTTTTCACTTGCGGGACCCCATATGGGGTCGCGACCCACACTTTAAGAAGCACTGCTCTAAAGAGCTAGAGTCAGCTGTCAATCAGGCAGCGGGGTGGATCCCGATAATATATATGCTGAGTTTTAGGTCACAGAAGTAGATTAGTAAATGTCCCCCTGTGACCTAAAAGAGAACTATAGCCAAATATTTTTTGGCCATAGTTCTCTTTTAATGAGAGCCCTCACATGCTTACCTGCTACCAAGAGGTCACTATCTGCTTCCAATCCCCTGCCATTTTTTGTTTTAGCAGTGCTCCAGGGGGGACTCTGAGCAGCAGATCAGCACCTCTGCCTCATGCAGAACTCATCCCTTGCCATGGTCAGACCTGGGAATAGCAAAGGAAAATCAATAGGCCAGTCAGATAGTGTCGGGGTCCTTATTAAGTATATCCAATTAAGCAGCACCGTTGGGTGGATGTAATCTCTGTTATTTTGCTTTAAAGAGAACCCGTACATTCAAGCCTATGTCTTGTGGTTCAAATGTATAAAATAGGTGCAGTTCTGCATATCTAATGTCACATGGGGGTTCATTTTCTGCAATCGTTCACCAACATTAAGAATTGGTCTGACCTCAAATAACAATAAAGAGGCATGATTTTCAGCCCCTCTTAAATTTCTCTGTGGTTACAGATGAGTCTGTTGTCACGTCAACTACTTACTATTTGCCTTCCTAGATTTTGGTTTCCCGAATCAGTTCTAATATAATTGTTCCTTGTCTAACTAGTTTCATCGTTCAAGCAATGAGAAGGCATGCAGCCAAGGAAAAGGAATTATGCGTGGTTACCTGTATTACTATTTATAACCTGTCACCTTGCAACTGTTTTATGGTCTGACATGACAGTCCGCATGTAGACAATTCATTCCACTTTAGCATGAGGAACATTTTTATAGATGCTTTTTTTTTTTTTCTTTCTATAATGGTTCATCAAAGCCAAGATCAAATAATGGAATGAAGTCACAAGATATGGGTCTTTGGGTTATCTCTTGAAAAATAATCTGCGACTTTGCTCATCGGGTTTTCCTTTCTACATTTAACTGTGTTGAGGTAAACCAGACTACATCCCATAACTTTCATGTTTTCATTAGCAATGCAGGGGGCCATGTGATCAACAGAGTGGTGCTGGGATCCAGTAAGAGGAGAGAGGAGCTAAAGCTGCAGGATCTGGAGTCTGTGCTGGCTGTCGAGGTATTCAACAACAAAGACAGTAAGTGCTATTGGGTCAGGGCTGGGCATTTAAATGTGGAATTTGATCAGTTCAATTCAATGCGTATTGGTGACCTGACTCCTGGGATGTGTTTTGTCCTGTGCTGGAGTCTGCACGAAAAGTACATTATTCAGCTCCCAGTCACAGTTTACGATTGGCAGCCTGTAGGACAGTCCTCCCAACTACTGTGACAGCCATAGAGAGTAAGTCACTAGCATACCAAAATCTTCATGATCAAAATGCCTTTATTTACATTGATCATGAAATCACAAGAAAAAAAATGATGTTTTGGGACCACACAGGGTCCCTTCATCAGGCAATGTGATAACAGGTCTGTTTATTTTATTCAGAGGGAGATTATCACACTTCCAGTAGCTGATCTCCCCTCCAATCACTGAAAGCGTAAGTCAGCTGTTTGTAATATAATAGACCCCTGATGTCTCCATAAAGTGGACCTGTCACTGTGTCTGTGCTATCACATAGGGGGCTTGTTAGCTCCCTATTTAATAGCAAAAAAGTTAAGGGTTAAAGAAAAAATAGTCATATATAAGCAGTTTTCTAAAAATAACAAAACACAAATTTTGGGTATGGTAGTGTTTGTGATTTCATGGGCGTACATAATTTTCTGTACTTCCTTTCCTTTTTATATAGTAAAAAATAAAAAAAACCCAGTGGTAATTAAATGCCACCAAAAGTAAGTGCTATCTGTCCCCAAAAATTTCAGGCAAAGCACCTCAGCGCTGAATACTGAAAAATGGCCTGGACAGGAAAGGGGTTTAACACCCCGGGCTTCAAATGGTTAAAGGAGCTTCCTAATTTCCTAATTCTGCTTGAGCTTGCCCTCTCCCTCCTTCTGCACATTCCTGTTAGCCATTGAGGCTGCCCATCACGTTAATCAGCCAATAGGAATGTTTGGGCACAGTAGCAAGCTCCAGCACTACCCGGAAGTGTCCGAAGTATACTTGATGAGACAGCCTGGCATTTAGCAAAACAGAGAATTCTAAAAGCATGTAAAGGTATGTGCACCTCTGTGTACCTGCACTTCATACCTGCGAGCTGCTTTCAGTAGTCCTCCAGTGATAGTCTCTTTCAAGAGGATTATAATGTGATTGATCAGGGTTGACCAGATGAGACAGCCATCATTACACTGTCATTCTACCCTGTTTTTGTATCCCTAGATGGCTTTTGGCACTGCAATCTGATTGACAAGAATTTGATTGACTTCTATGTCCCTTTTCTACCGCTGGAGTACAGACATGTAAAGCAGTGCGCCTTGGCGGAGTTAAGACATCGGGGGCTAAAGGCCGATGAAGAGCTGGCATCCCTTGTGGCTAAAGAGATGACTTATTTCCCTAAGGACCTTCGAATATTCTCTGATAAAGGCTGTAAAACTGTCTCAACAAAATTGGACCTTCGTCTGTCTGGTTAAGCCAGCTGCTGGTCAGTAGAGGTGCGATCCTCTTCCCTTTATCCTTGTACTGAGCATACGAGATTGGTTATTATTCCATGAATGACTGCTGCACATTTCGCTGATTTCTCAGGAATTCCTCAGCACGGCCTTCCCTGGTATCACCATTATGAAGGCGAAAGTATTTCTTGACTCCCCACACAGCGCACTTCATTCCTGGTGTGTTCAGCCTGCATTGTGACCTGTGCTTTAAACTTGTAGAATTATTTACACACCAGACAGACAAGTTAGGCCAGGATCGGGATTAAAACCACTAGTGACCGCTCTAATATTTCTGTCCTCATAATTGCCTTTAAAGAGAACCAGTATTAACTGAGCTTATGCAGAAATGTTTTTATTTGTGTTTGCGTAATTTATCTGAAGATGACTCTGGGCTGAGAGTCAGTGCGGAGAATCGCTTTTAAAGTCTGACAATTGCTGCCATGCCAGCTGCCTGAACTTTGCTAAGACTTGCGGTCTTTCAGCTCCTAAGTGACCTTAACAGCATCACACACAGAGCCATGTAGTTGCTCATATTCCTCCTAATCACAGTGCTCTAGTATGTGATAATGTATTGCATGCTTGGGAGCTGGCATGTGCCATCAGCATGAGTTCAGGCACTTGGCAGATCAACAAGTGTCAAGCATAAAGGGGACATTAAATTATCAGACACGTACCATACAGGCCAATCACTTTTTAGTTATTCCGGATTGCTAAAAAAGAGGGGGGGAGACACCCTCTGGAAATACACATAGGAAACAATCCTCACTTGCACACCTTCTTCATACTCGGCTGATCCTCAGTGAGAAAATATCACCAACCCATAAGAGATAATATCACCAACAGACAACCAAGGTGAATTGCCTCTGCTAATTTCCAGGGCCTAGAACCTCCACAGAAGCAGATAGTCTTTTATAAGGGGCAAATATACATCGATCTGTTATAGATAACCTGCATGATATAATAATGTAAGGCTTAATATTCAAATTTTTTGCATAAGCCCAATTGTGCCTGGTTCTCGTTCAGTATTGTCATCAGTCCACTCAAACCAACATGGTTCATCCAACTTGTTTTTAAATTCCTTTAGTTGTATTTAAAAAAAAAATACACCAAATTTGTTAAGTGTATCACCTTGTTTTCTTGTTTACTAATACTGTTTTGATGCCATGGATGACTCATTTTTACTTGGGTGAAACACTAGTATATATTTTATGTAGTGTAGAGAAAAAAACCTCTCTGACAACTACTGTACTGTGGGATGATTTCCTACCACCTGACCACCAATGTAAAGGGGCTTTTCTCCTACCTGACCACCAATGCAAAGAACCCTGTGAAAGAGACAGACGTGTGTGGTGGCTGCTGATGCAAAGGGGCCACATATTCTGTGTGAGCGCAGTTTATTGGAGTGTAAGCAGACAGAAGGGCCTCTAGAGATAGAGAGAGCCCTCCCTCTGGTCTGCTGCGCTCAGTGTTACACAGACAATCGCTTCAGTGGGACATCACATCACTGCTACAGCTGGGATATCATCGCAGCCTGGACAAACAGTTGAGCCGGTATAGTGAAGAATTCCATAAGGCCCAGCAATTGGTGGGAGGCCTGAGGACATTTAAAGAGAGAGTTCCCAGTGTCTTCCTATGAGCAGAGTCTACCTCCAAAGAAATCACAGATGACTTCAGGACCAGCAAAGTGTTGGCTGGAGAGAAAGGGGACGCCCGTCTCTCGCTGACGGACATCCCCGCTGCAAGACTGACCTGGGAAGTGGTGAGAGGCCTTTGGCCACTTTGTGTTATTTCCGCAATTCATCTCATCAGCACAGTATGGGCCCCAACGATGGCTAGCCTAAACTATTGCTACTGGCCAGTAGTATAGAGAGTTATACACAAATTGGGACTGACACATTAGCAATCAAGTGCTCAAGGATAAAGATGGCTTCTAAGATAGTTCAGTACTGTATACTTCAGTATAGACGTGCATTCGGATTTGGACAAACCTGCAAATCAACGCAATTCAGTTGATTTCGGCAGTTCGTCCGAAATAAGGAAGTTATTATATGCCCAAATATCCGAAAACTATATTTGGGGATACAATATGGCCGCCGGCGTGTTCTGCACATGCCTGCCGCCATCTTGGAGGCGGAGCGGATGACGTCACATGACGGTGACGTCGCACGCTGAACGAACGGTGGCCACATTGGCCACCGGCACGTTCTGCGCACCTCCATCTTGGAGTATATCTTGGTTTACACCAAGATGGCGGCGCTCGAACATGCGGGTGTGCTGTGGATCCTATTTGCCCAGGATAGGTCTTCCCTCCTAAAGCTTAATAATTAATGGGACACAGCAAAATATAAACTGACTGGGGTTTTAACTCTTTTCTACTCTCTAATAAAAATATAAAACGTTTTAGCTATACATGCGCTTTAAGTTAAGTTATTGTCACAAAATTGAACCAAATCAACTTTCTCATTAAACAAATCTGTAATAATGTACTAATTAAATGTTTAGATAGCTTGCTTATGTAGGCAGGATTCGTCTGTCAGGATAGATCTGTGGGCAGAGTTTCATGTATATAATCAGTAACCCTGAGCACCCATGATTATTACTATAGAGTGAGGAGGTAGCAGGAGTAAGCACACATCTCCGGGTACTTATCTGTGAGATGAGAATACTGAGCAGATGAGGTTGTCAGATGTGTCTAATGGATATTTCTGAGAACGCTGCATCTCCTGTGCCTTTAGCTTTCATTTTATTACCTGTACATAACGTATAATAATGCGTGGCCTACCTTTGTTGACCTCCTTTGGTGGTGGTGTCCATACTTCTCTCTTCCCCAGATGGAATTTAATACATATTCAGTTAATTAAATGAAATTTAAATAAAACAATGTTCTGCTTTTTTTTTTTTTTTTTTAAATAAGCTTGTTATTTTTTATTTACGGCGGACAGCAGCCACCAAGCCCCTTCAAGTTACCAGCACCAAGGGATAATAAATTAAAGTGTATCTACAATCAAAAATCAAACTGTAATCAGTTGTAGCTTACCAGCCTATATATGTGGTGTCTGCATTAGTTTTCCCTTTTACAGGTTTTCTTCCATTTATTTTAACCTGATGTCGTACAGTGACAACACTCACAAACTGTACTGTAACTAACTATGGAAGGTGTCATCCTAGGCTGCTCTCCTGATTTGGACTACAAAAGCCTCCCCCTTGGGAGGACTGGGAAGGTGCAATATATTTCATGTTTGTTCTTCAATTCAGATATACTTTAACTTTCAAAGTATTTTTATTAATTTAAAGATTAAGAGTACATTACAACCAAACAAAATGTCAAGAAAAAAAAGGCTGTAAACCTGCCCACAGGGATACAGCAATAGGAATCACAAGAAATGGAGGCAAGAGGCAAACCCAACTGTCTAAACTTCCAGCATATCAAGTTGTCAATTAGACAAAATGGGATAGAAAGTAACAAAACCAAAAGCAGAACTTGTATCCCCTATGGAAAGTAAGATGAAGTAGACAACGCATCATGTAAAGAGACATAGAAGAATGGGTGTCTCCAAACCTCCTAGGGTGCGGGAGGATTACCAGCAACTAGAAAAGTAGTACAAGAGTCAGAAAAAGTCTAAAGGAAAGATAGAAAGAATAAGTAAAGAGACAAGAAAGGAGGGAAAGAGAAAGGTGATCCAGAGGAGGTAACCCACCACCCAGCCATCTAAAACAAAAATATCAGCACTAGGCATAATTTACTCCAGTATAAGTCAGCCAAGGATTCCATACTTTTTCAAACTTCTCCTCAGTGTCTTATAGAATACTATGTAACTTTTCATGAACCATGATCCACGACAGTTTGAGTGTCCTCCAGGCTTTGGTGTCCTCCAGGCTTTAGCAATACAAATTTTAGCTGCTAACAAAAAAACTCCCCTGGAATTAGGCGATTCAACAAAACGTATTGCTGGTCTCTATTCCAAAAGGGTGTAATTTAGGGCACAGCCGCCAGATTCAGATATACTTTTATTACATTACAACACAACAATCAGTTTCTTCACCAAGTTAGAATAAAAATGCCACGATGCTACAACTTTAAACAATATACATCTACTAATAGCAGTCTGTTTAAAGTGAATGTTAAGCCAAATGTTGTGGGGCTCCGTAAGAGACATTTCACCTGATTTCTATCAGGATACCAAGAAACCAGACAGAAACTTAAAGTGCAGGTTAAACAATAAAAGGAGTTTATTGAAAATAACAATTAACAAAAATGGCAAAAACAATGGAGAAAGTCCAGGACGTCATCGGTGCCAAGCCAGAGGTTAGATGCCAAAGCAGGTAGTCAGCTGAACCAGGTCAGGGGACACTAAGACCAGGCTGAAAGGAAACAATAGCCAGGAACCAGGAGATGATTTAGCCAGAACAAGGGTCATACACGGAAAACAAGAACAACAGTAGAGCACTTGGTAGATCAGAACACACGCAAGGGCAGAGACTAAATGGACAAGCTGTTTGCTAATCGGAGAACTGGTGGTGCATCATCATTCTTAGACAGGAATTTTCTAGAAGTTTATTTAGTAGTGGCAGAATGATGATGTTTACAGGTTTGGTCATAACAGGGTGCCAAAGAGGAACGAACAATGTCAGACAGCTCAACTGGACAAGGAAGGGTAAGAAACCCAGACAATGTTTTACTAGACAGAAAGTGAGGAGAAATCTGCAACAGTAGCAAAAATATGACAGAGTTCCTACCAGTAGCTTCCTTTCTGCACTATTGAAAAATATATTTTTGTTTCTTTCTAACTGTTAGAGATTTCCCCTCACTTCCTTCCTGGTAAAACATTGTCAGCAGGACAGGAAGTAAGGGGAAACCTAAACCTAAATTGAACCACAGGTCATCTGATCAGTGTGCAGCTGATTGAACTGGTATGATCTGTGTTGAATGTTGATTCATTTGAATTGTTAATTTCATTTTCAGTTTGTCTATGTTGTGAATTTATGAAACCTTGCCATTGGGATGTCCATAGATGAGAATTCGGCATTCTTTCAAGAAAAAGGTCATCTATTCAGCCTGCTGCGATGCCATATCCTCTTTGTTTTTCACCCCACGTTGTCTTGATTTGGAGAACGGTTTGTCTGCACCCCTGAGAAAGTATAAACCTAGGAGAAAAGAGCAAAGAAGGAACAATTACCATAAACAACAGTAGGTCTGCTGGGCCAGCTCACCAAAAACTGATATTTCAATTCCTGCTAGATGCCTTAGAAATAAAACCACCTGACAGTTTATTTTTATCTCTTGGGGACTCTGTTGGTGAGAACTCTCTGCTGAGTTCAGATGATAGGTTCTAGGGATGCACCGATACCAATACTAGTATCGGTGCCAATACAGAGTATTTGGGCGAGTCCTCGTACTTGCCCAAATGCTCCCGATAATGAAACTTCTAGTATCAGGAAGCTGGACAGCGAGTCATTACACGTCACCTGGCTTCTCGATTGGACGGGAAGCCGGCTCCATGCTCCCTCATCACCAGGGAGCTCGGAGCTCGCTTCCTGGCCAATCAGGAAGCCAGGCGGCGTGTAATGACTCGACGGCCAGCTTTCAGATTGATCGGAAAGCTGACCAATCAAGAAGCCGGGCGGCGAGACATTACCCACCAACTGGCTTCAAGAAAGCCAGCTCCATCACCTGGTGATGAGGGAGCATGGAGCCGGGTTCCCGGCCAATCAGGAAGCCGGATGGCGTGTAATGACTCGCCGCCCGACTTCTTGATTGTTCAGGAAGCTAGCCAAAAAAGAAGCTGGGCAGCAGGTCATTACTTAATGGGACTTCCGGTATCGTTATTCGGTATCGGCGAGTACTGAAAAAAAAATATCGGTACTCATAATCGATACCGAAAAACGGTATCGGTGCATCCCATTCTGCCTGTTTTATTTATTTTATACTGCAGAAAAGCTATGGCCCCTTTCAGACGGGCAGTCCAATCAGGTCCACCTGTTAGTTTTTCAGGAGAATCTGATCAGAAGCCCAATGTTAATCTATAGGCAGCTGGATCTAAATGGACATGTGTTTGTTTACTCTCCATTACCCTAAATTCCATCCAGGTCCAGAAAACAGAATGGAACAGAGTTCTGTGTTTGAGGACCTGAAAGTGACAGGGGATAATCTGATGTAAACAGACACAGGTCCACTTACATCTGACTCTTCTTAAACCTAACATGGGTCCAGTAAGTTCAGTTTGCAATAGAGGAAAAAACTGTTAGTCACAACAGTGACATCCGTTATGTACTGCTCCAATCAGCAGGAAATGTGTGATCGGAACAGGCGCCCGTGTGAAAGGGACCTAAGTGGTTGAACTAAAACACACAAAGGTGGATAGAGACTCCCGAAACCCCAAATGAACAGAAACAGAGCTGGAAATTATGGCAGCGAGATCTCAATGTTGGCGTGTCCAAAACATACACTCAGTGGCCAGATTATTATGACCACCTGACGTTTGTAGGCAAATTAGCTATAATTTCGCGCTGAAGTTGCTAGAGGGCCAGACCATTATAAGGCGCTCTGTTACTGCAGATCTTGAACAGGGATCCTCTCAAATGATCTCTGAATGAACTGTTCGACGCACAATGCATAGTAAGGAAGCCGAAAGCCTGTTCGAACACCTTTTGCTGTCTGCAGCATTGGAAAAAAGTCATGTGGTCCGATGAATCACGTTTACAGTTGCATCATAACACGATGGAGGCGCTCTGTTTTTCTTTGTATTCATCAGACATGTTGAACTTGTCAGATTCCTCGCATCACCTTTTAACATCTCGTGGAGTCAATGCCAAGAAGAATCGCCACAGTATTGAAGGCAAAAGGTGGCCCAACGAAGTACTGATGGGGTGGTCATAATAATCTGGCCACTCAGTGTACATAAAGCCAGGGTCTGACATCCCACGGGGCTCCATTTAAAGTACAATATCACTTTTCATTTAACTGATCCTTTAAAGCTGGTCTATCATCTAAAACTTACAAAATACAATATAATTGACTCTTACAGTGGAGGACCACTCAAAAACAAAAAAAACTAACAAAGATATTTTAAGGAAGTTATAATAAGAAAGCATGCACCTGATATGACATTGGTCATTGTAGAAAAACATCAACTGTTTGCTGCTTTTCTTTTTAAAATGTTAAATGCTTAGCTGTATCGGTTTTCATTACTTCTGAGTGTCATACCCAGAGCAGTTATATAATGCTTATCCCTGTATGATCAGCCTGTCACTGGCTGTCAAACCATGCAAGGATAATGCCCGAGACTTACCGATTCTTATTGTTTACAAGTCCAGTAGACCACATCATGGGCCACGTGTTGGGTGAAATATATGTTTTAGTTGAGTTTTCTTGCACGGCTAGAAGACAATAAAATGTAAAAATATGGTTAGCTATTTGTTTTGATATAAATGGAAATGTTGCTATTGTTAAAAAAATAACTGATGTAACATTTATAATTACAATGCAGGTCATTTGGTGATTTACAATTCAGAAAAAGTACCTTTCAATTTATAGCAGGTGGCAAATTCCTAAAACTGAATTTATTGTATTCATAGCAACAATAAGGATGTTCTGTACAAGGCATGTATATGGAACTCCTCCTGTTTTTTTGAAATTTCCTGAAATCGGAGCCGCCGGCCGCCACCTGTCTGAGGAGAAAAAAACAAAACAGCATAGGAATGCATAGTTAGATTGCAATTGGCCATTTCTCTTTTCAATAGCCAATAGCAGACTAGCTATTGCACCCGACCACTGCTGCTGTCAATCAGCAGAGGTGGACCTGAAGTTCTCCATCAGGTCCTCTTCTAGTGATTGACAGCAGCAGAGTGCGGGTGCAGTAACGAGTCTGCTATTGGCTATTGCAAAGTGAAATAGCCAATAGCAATCTAGCTATTCATTCCTATGCAGTTATTTTCTTGTTTTTGTTCTTTTTCTGATGGCAGCAGCTGTCAGAATACTAAAAAAAAAACCCCAGCAGATAGCAAAGAAGTTTCCGGGGCTATCTGCCATCATTTCAGGGGGGTGCTCTCTCTCTCTTCAGGAGGGGGGGAAGAGGGCTCCTCCCTGAAATGAGAAGGGCTCCTCCCTGAAATTGCTTTTTTCAGGTTGGGATCCCTGCATGTACCACATGATGATCCTGGAGTGTTCAAGGACTGGCTTTTGTGAAGCAAGGAAGGTGAGTGATAAACGTTGCCTGTTAAGTCTCATATCTCTAGTGCTGAACCCACTCCTCAAAGGTTTATTGCCTGTATTACAATCAAAACAATACAAGACAGATGGGGAGGATCGGTGCTGCATTGCCAAATTAAATGCTATAACCATTTTTATAATAGGAGAGTTCCCCCAAATGGCTTGGACACTATGGTTAAGAATATCAGCACATGAAATGCTCTAGATAGAACCATTTGTAACCTATTGGAGCCCCTTTATCAGACAACAGTACCACTGGCTCTATCCTAAACATACAATATGTATGTTTATACATACATTATTATTAGGGATATTTTCTCTCACTTCCTCTCCCTGTGATGCCCATACACACTCTAATAAATGAAGGGTGCGATTGTCACCAAGACAGGAAGGACACAGATAGTAAAAATATAATTGACAGCGGTGGATTTTATGCTTGTATTGAATAATAAAGGACTTTAAAGCAAGATGTTTCCTTGAGCCTTTCCAAAAAAAATATTACAATTGGGTTTTAAAGATAGGATTTTAGGGGTTCAACAAGATTAAAAATCCAAACCCCGGGCTATTTTTTAAACTTGTTTTTTAATGTTCCCTAAGTGCTATAAAAATGCCTACACCACAAGACGTACCAAGTCTTCTGGGTAGAACGATACCCAGTTTCACTCAACCCAGAGATTGTGAACTATATTGTAAATTCATGGTGCCATGCCCCTACCCCATACCAAGTGTCACCATGGCACTCTCGGTTCACACTGTACTAGTTTAGAGAGGGGTGCTGGTGTCATCACACCAGCTCCACCTCTCTGCATCAGTGTGGACCTCCCAGCCCGGAGAAGAAGGTGAAGTGGACCCTGCAGCATCAGATGAGTGGCCTGAAAACTTCACAAAAGGCAAATATTAAAATAATTAAAATATTAAATAAATACATCAACAGCCATTGGGGGACAGAGTTTGGAAACGGGTATTGACAGTAGGGGGAGCTTGGGCTCTAAGTTTTAGGGTTCAGATTATGATCAAGGGGTTAGGGTTAGCATCTAGTATGAATTGAGGTTAAGCAGCAGGATATGTTTAAAGCTTATTTCAAGGAAAAGTTAAACCTCCCAACAACCCCCCTCTCCTTGAAGTCTGCACTAAAAAAACCCTCGCTGAAGCCTCCCCCATGAGCTGAGACTGGTGATCGAGGGCTGCTATCTTTGACCAGTCTCGTTGCCCCCCTCATGGTGACATCATCACACAGCTGCATTCTTCTGGGGACAGAGAGAACCCTGCTGCTGGCTCTAGCAATGATCTAGAGGAGCGAGGGGGTATTGTTTATTGGCGAGGGGTGGCTGACCAGAGTAGAAGGGTAGGCTAACGGTTAAATGGTAGGTTTAAGGGTTACATTTTGGGGTTAAAGTCAAGATTTAGGATTTCTCATCGCTATCTGTCCTGATGGCAATGGTGACCAAACAAAATAAGAGGGTTAATCTCCTAACATGTCATGGACAGCACTTAAATCTAACAGGGGTTCTAACTTTTCCTCACACTATCCACAATAAAAAAAAAAATGGTACCTAAATACACTTTAAGATCACCAATGCAGAAAAATCCTATAGTTTCTCTTTAACCGCTTGCTGTCCGCCTGTTGTGAAAAAACAGGTCCCATTGGCGGGTTGCCGTAATTAGACGGCTTTCTTTTTCTACACGGGCAGAAAAAACCTGCGCGCTCTGCAGAGCTGTTACCGGCTGTTTGACATACAAACGATCGGCGGCTCTATAGCCGCCGATCGCTTGAATGTTGTGTGTGCTCGCTCCCCCTCCTGCAGTGCCGCCGCCCCCCCTCCTGCACCTTCAGCTTCAGTCCCGGGATCCGCTACCCCATCTGCGGCCCGGGACCGGCTCGGGAGGGTGTCAGGAGGAAGGTGGGGGGGAGTTCAGCATCTTGCTCCTTGCTGACCTCTCTCCGTATTCTGAATGCGGAAGTGATGTGTATCACATCACTTCCGCATTCACCTGTCAGTCATCTGGCTGCTATTGCCAGAGAGAAGAAGCTGATGAAGCAGTTCTCTGCTTCGTCAGCTGCTTTGGGGATCCTTAGGTGACATTAGGGGTCTTAGAGACCCTAATGTCTCCATAAAGAGAACCTGTCAGTGTGCAAGAAGTCACATATTAAAAAAGAATGACCCCCACCCCCACGTTTCCGCACATATAAACGTAAATACGTGGTCAGCGCGCGAAAACGACAATTGCGCTACATATGTTACATATCGTCGCGAACGTCGGAGTGAGAGTAATAATTTTAGGGCCATCAATCACTGGTAACACTAAACTGATGAGCGGTAGAAGCTTTTAAATCGTCGCCTATGGCCAATTTAGGGTATTGTAGTTTATTGAGGTTTCGCGTGTGCGTGCAATTTTAAGGCCTGACATGTTTGGTGTCTTTTAACCCAACGTGACCCCGTCTTTTATATTTTACCAAAAAATTGGGTAATAATAAATGTTTTATAATTTAATATGGGGGGACAGGTTTTTTTTCCCGGTAATTTTTCCTTAATATAGTAAAAAATAAAAACCACAGTGGTGATTAAATACCACCAAAAGAAATCTCTATCTGTCCCCAAAAAATGGTATAAAATTCCTTTCAGTACAGCGTTACATGACGGAATAAACGTCAGTCAAAGTACCGCAGCGCTGAATACTGAAAAATGGCCTGGGCAGGAAGGGGGTTTAACACAGCGGACTTCAAGTGGTTAAAAAATTGATCTCCAAGAGACAAGCCCGCCTTCCCTTTAGATGTTACCTTTGCTGTAAAAGGTTGATCCAGGTTTCGCTGTTCCATAAGGCAATGAGAAAAACAATTATGCAAAAAACACGAAGACACCACAGAAAGAAGCAAATCTTCTCCTTGAGAGCATTGGTCCAGTTAGAAATTTTAGAGGCCAAAAGGTAAAACCCCAAGACAGCGCCGGCGCACAGGAGAACATCCATTGATGCTTGAAATGTAGCTGCAGATCTCCGTCCCAGTAAGACTGAGTTGTGAGGAAATGTCTGGTGACTACAAAGTGCTGTACACCCTATTTACCATCAACGGGAAATGAAACTGAATGAACTGGCCCATAGCCAGCACACTCGGGAAAGTCCATTGCTTTCCATGGTAAATAACTCTTTTTTTTTTGTACAGTAACTGGAAATGTCAGAAGTAGACGTAGAAGATATAGCAAGTTAAATGTTTTTTCCTGGATAGTCCTATGCTGGGCTCCCTCTAGTACAGCAAATGCTGCCCCCTTCCATCTGCCTACATCACTATGAGTATATTATACTGCACGTGCCATAGCAAAAAGTGGCCTTAAAGTGACATGGTTACAAGCAGTCTCCTCCTATACCCTAGCACAGATATGCCACAGTCCTTGTACCCACAAAATACTCTGTAAGGGTTCATTCACATCACCTCAGTTGAGCTGCCTTGACCTGCACAGATCAACACCGCTCAACACCGGGCACATAGGGAACAATTGTTTTCTACGTTACATGTTTACACCACAACACTGGGTTGTGGTGTGTTGTGTAAAACTACAGACATGCTATTTCACAGTGCACTTTCACTTCACCTCATATTCAGTTCTGCTGTGGTGCATAGGGCCTCATTCACACTGTAATTGGCCGGCACGTACAGCTCCGTGCTGCGTGCACGGCGTATTGGGCAGCTCCCGGGAAGGACAGGTGCTGCGTGTGATTGGTACGCAGCCCCTGTCCTCTATGGGAGTACGCGGCCGAATGCCGCCCTATGGTCACCTCAAGTACAGGTCCGTACAGGTACGGGTGTCCCAGCGGGTGATCCATCCTGCCAGCGTATGAGTATGCTCACCCACACGGACATGCAGGGCGGGTGAGCGTAGGTTGGCGTACGGCCGCGTAGTCCCATAGAGAAGGACAGGGTCTGCGTACTAATCACACGCAGCACCTGTCCTTCCCAGGAGCTGCCTGATACGGCCCTGCACGCAACACGCAGCTGTACGCGCCGGCTGTTTCCAGTGTGAATGAGCCATAGAAGTTAATGAAATGTCACCATTGTGTAACAGAATGGTGCTCATAGTTACTCCAATGGATGGTACCGTGTGATATCACAAGTAAATGTGATATCTGTGGTTGTGGCCCCATTATGGAGAGTCACCCTTTTTGCCCTGTGGCCATTGTCAGTTAATGTGAAACACCCCCCAAATTTTGGGTTGTCACCAGAACAGGGAGAGGAATAGCCATAGCCACCGCCTCCGTGCTTACCGGTTACCTGTCCTACCCCCGCTTCTATTGCGGCCGCCTGGTGGAATGCTGCGAGGAGAATGCATTGAAAAGTACAGGTGAGACTGGGAGGAGGGGAGCCTGTGTGCAGGTCAGCCCTGGAAGTCCCAGCATGGTGTGTGTGTATTTTGTTTTATTTTTTTGGCCAGATATTTCTCTATACACATCTAATATTCTGATGATTAAAGTCTGTGTACAGCCCAAACTTTTTTTGTAGTATTAGGCCCCGTTCACATGTAGCGAATTATCACGCGATTTCTGCCGCGATATCGCGCATTTTTGCCGCGCGATATCGCGAGAAGTCGCCGGCCAATGCTATTCAATGGAGCTGTCTTAACTCCATGTCGCTCGTCGCGGTCGCAAGTCGCTTCTACCGGACCCTTTTTTCGGCGGATTTTGCGCGATTTTGCCTTTTTTCTATGGAGCCCGACGGAGAAGGTCGCGCTACCGTCGCTGGAACGTCGCCCCGAAAGTCGCGCTATCCCGGCCGTGCGGATCCGCTGCAAAAGGTATGTCGCTACGTGTGAATGGGGTCTTAGATAGAGTAGGGAAGGATTAAACCCGTCAGATTTATTTTTGTAGCCTGTGTACCTTTTGGGGAGATTTTTTCTTCACTCCTGCTCCAGGAACAGGAAGTGAGGGGAGTTCTTTCCAATGCTGGTTTCACAGGAGTGTTCTATCAGTCCATTGACCTGTGATTGCAGGGATCAAAAACAGAGTGCAGTACATCCCTATGGATGGGCAGTTGTATACAAACGTGTGTTAGTCAGTTAAATGCCAAAAGAGATTGTGGCCAGGTCTTCTTTTACTGACCCGGGCAGATATATGTGGACACGTGTTTGTTTACATCCGGCCACCCATAGTGATTACACGGATCCCAAGATGGAGGAAAACAATCGGAACCAATCTGACTCCGTAGGGGATATTTCTAGGTAGGGATGCACCGATACTCGCCCAAATGCTCCGATGCCTAGCCCGATACTTCCGGATATCAGAAAGCCGGGCAACAAATCATTACATGCTGTCCGGCTCCCTAATTGCCGGGAAGCCGGCTGCACTTGTGACGAGATAGCATGGAGCCTGCTTCCCGGCCTATCAGGAAAGCCGGGCAGTGTGTAATGACTCGCTGCCTGGCTTCCCGATTGGACGGGAAGCTGGCCAATCAGGAAGCTGTGCAATGATGCGGGCCACGGCTTTCTGATTGGCCAGGAAGCTGGCTTCATGCTCCCTCTTCGCTTCATGACGAGAGAGCATGGAGCGGGCTTCCCGGCCAATCAGGAAGCCGGGCGCTGCATTATTACATTGCGCCTGGCTTCCTGATTGGCCAGAAAGCCGACTCAATGCTTTCTCGTCACCTAGCGACGAGAAGCATGGGGATGGCTTCCCTGCTAATCGGGAAGCCGGGTGGCGAGTCTTTACACGCCGCCTGGCTTCCTTGATGGGACTTCCGGTACTTGGTATTGAGTATCGGCGTGTACCGGAAAAAACAAATATCGGTACTCAATAACGAAATACCGGTATAGGTGCATCTCTACTTCTAGGATAACCTGCTATGACAGAATGGATGATGCTCGTGTGAAAGGGGCAGGGGTCCCCATTAGAAGGTTTCCCCTCTCCTTTTGTTCTTGTGACACCTCTACAGTTGTGTATTTCCCCTGGCTTTCTGTCCCAGTGAAATAACTGAAAACATTGACTTTTGTTGAGCGGAGCCATGCCAACAGGGCCACGCACAGCCTTATGTATAAAGCAATTTTTGGTATTGATTACATATCTCCTAGTTGGGGAGATTTCCCCTCGCTTCCTGTTCTGCTGACACTCTGTGTGGCTGAGACAGGAAAAGAGGGAAAGTCTCCAAAATTAAAGAAATAGTTTTGGCTGAATCTTTTCTTTATTATCTCCTGTATTCTTTACGTTAAGAAGGGGGACTCAATCTGGAAATGCTTTTTGCTAATTGTTCTTGTGGCAGCATTTCCTGTTGAGGAGACCGGTCACTGCAAGCAGTTCTCTGTGCTCTGGTTGGCTGGTCACCTCAATGCATCATAATAGTTCTGATCACCGTGCGGTCATCACACCAGCGCTGCCTGAAATATGAGGAATGGTGAATGTCTTATCCCTGCCTTCCTAATGTGCTGATGCTGAGGGTACGGTCACACCAGATGCAGTGCGTTCCGGTTCGATTCTGGCCAGAACGCATTGCGGCCGGATAACTGTTTTTGTGGGGAAGGAGGGGGCAAGGCGGGCCATTGAAGTGAATGGCACCGTAGCCACGCCCTCCGGCAGCAATGCGATCGCCTGGTACAATGTGCCTGCAGTCTGGTGGCTACGGTGCCATTCACTTCAATGGCCCGCCATGCCCCCTCCTTCCCCACAAAAAAGTGAGCAGGCTGCAATGCGATGCAGTGCGTTCCGGCCAGAATCGGACCGGAACGCACTGCATCTGGTGTGAACGTACCCTCAAGGTAATGAGGGGGAAGTTCTCTTCTCCCCTGTCCCCACAAACCCGACTACTGCTCCCAAAAACTGTGCACACATTGAGTGCATGCTGAGGGCTCATGGGAGATGTAGTTCTGCGGGATGGGCCTACATCATATGTGTTATAGGCCACTCGGCAGGCTCCTTACAGTGCTTTTTTGGAAGCAGAAAATGGATGAAGCTGGGTGATGATCTGACTTGAACTTCTGTCCCTATAGGAGCAAGGGATGCAAAAAGAAAGAAAAACAGTAGGATAAGGTTAGAGGAAAACTCTGGGCCAATAAAAAACGTACCCTTGGAGTGGGCCAACCAATGTACTGCAAGGGTGAAGTTCTCACTTTTTTTTTTCTAGGGGCTGGAATGAAGCAGAATTTTCTGACCTGATCCCGGCTTCTTCAGGACTGCTAGAGCGGTCCCCACGTTCTCTTCTCCTCTGGGCTCCAGCAGTCTAAGGACCTTTGATAACATCACGTCTTATGCAGGTCCTTTGAGGGACATTCCATAGTTGGAGCAGAGGGGAAGAGAGGTGAGCGCTGACCGCCACGGGGCTGAGGATCAGATATCTGCTTTATTTGGACCCCTGGCCTTGACAAAAGGAACACCTATCACTTGAAGTGCGGGGGTAGCCCCGCTGCAAGGTCATGGTTATTTGCCAGGAGTTGTTCTTTCGGAGGAACAAAGATTTGCCTAAAGATGGGCTTTAAAGGAGAACTATGGGGTAAGTGTTTTTCCCCATAGTTCTGTTAAGGGTCACGGGAGGACACATACTAACCTCCTCCTATGACCCAAAGCTCCGTATATGTAGCTCGCGGTATACTGAGACTGCCGCAGCCGGAGGAGGACCTGACGTTACTGTCGAGATCCACCCAGCTGCGTGAGTGACAGCTGGCTCTGCCTATCTAGAGGGAGAGCCAGCTGTACCCACCCCTCCCCCGTCCGTTCCTCCAGTCAGCGCTGGAGAATCGGGGAGGGGGGGAATCCCTGCAGGGAGCCGTGAGTGACAGTCACGGCTCTCTGCAGGGATGTGAGCGAGTGACGGTAGGTGTTCGCTAACTTCCCGATCTATTGAGCCGACCTGTGACAGTCTCATTGTCACACGTCGGCTCGAACTATGAGGATGAGTGATTTTCACTCGCCTCATAGTTCTCCTTTAGGGCTTGTTCACACCGAAAGCTTGTGTGTTCCAGAGCAGTAGCTGCTGGAACGCACCGCGATCGCTAAGAAACTTCTGACCGTGTTTTGGGGTGGGAGGGGGCGGTGCATTGCATTCAATGGCACTGCTTCCACGCCCCCCCGCCTGCAGTGCACTCGACCGCGTTTGCAGTGGAACGGAACGCTGGCAAAGTCTTGCCACGCGTTCAATCGCACTGCGGGCGGGGGTGCTTGGAAGCGGTGCCGTTGAATGCAATGCACCGCCACGCCCCCAAAACGCGGGGAGAGGTTTCTTAGCGATCGCGGTGCGTTTCAGCAGCTACCGCTCTGGAACGTACACGCTTTCGGTGTGAACAAGGCCTAAAGGTACTTTCTTCTTCTTTTTTTTTTTTCTATTTTGATAACTATTATTTATTATCATTATTATAATTTAATTATTATTACGTTTGCACTTCTTATTTTTATCAGCCTTCCGGGAAGACTTGGGAAATAAACTGTTTGGCCAGCACCTGGCCCAAGACGTCATCTTCCGAGCGGTCACAGGATTTATGAACAATGAAAACCCCAAAAAGCCCTTAGCCCTCTCCCTGCATGGCTGGACCGGAACCGGCAAGAACTTCATCAGCAAAATCATTGCAGAGAACATTCACCAGAAGGGGATGAGCAGCAAATACGTCCATCTTTTTGTGTCAACCATGCATTTCCCCCACAACAACCTGGTTCCCCTCTACAAGGTGCTCTTACATCTGCAGAGCTTGCGCACATAATATCAGAGTTCCAAGAACTTGCTTGAGCAGTGCTCTCTATATTGCTACTGGAACTGACTGTTTATGGTCAGACGGAAGGCAGATTTAGTTAGTTAAGCTTTAGCCCTCATTCACACTAGAAATGGCCGGCATGTACAGCTCCGTGCTGCCAGCAGGGCCGTATCAGGCAGCTCCCGGGATGGACAGGTGCTGCGTGGGATTAGTACGCAGCCCCCGTCCTTCTCTATGGAACTACGTGGCCGTACCTCACCCTGCACGTCTGTGAGGGTGTCCGTACTCGTATACGGACAGGATGGATCCTGTCTGTGTCCGAGCCAGGAAACACGAACCCGTACGGAGCTGCACTTGGGGTGAGTGTAGGGGGGCGAACGGCCGCGCACCCCCATAGAGAAGGACAGGGGCTGCGTACTAATCCCACGCAGCACCTGTCCTTCCCGGGAGCTGCTCGATACCGCCGTGCACGCAGTACGAAGCTGTATGTGCCGGCTTTTTCTAGTGTGAATGAGGCCTTAAGTGGTATGCATTAAGGCAGGGGTAGGCCACCTCAGCACTCCAGCTGCGGTGAAACTACAAGATCCTGACAACCACATGTATGACTCCAAGCTGCATGATGGGGTTTGTGGTTTCATCACAGGTTACCTGAACCTGCCTTGAAGGAGAACTATGAGGTGAGTGCTTTTCACTCACCTCATAGTTCTAGCCGACCTGTGACAATGAGGCTGTCACAGGTCGGCTCAGTAGATCGGGAGGTGAGCGAACACATACCGGGTTCGCTAGCCTCTCGATCCTGTCACGGCTCTCTGCCGTGACAGGGGGCGGGGCTGGATTCCCCCCTCCGATCCGCCAGTGCTGACTGGCGGAACAGACGGGTGAGGGGGCAGGTACAGCTGGCTCTGCCTCTAGATAGGTGTATTGAGAATGTATGTATATCCCTATTTGTAAATAAACCCAACACTTATTTAAGATTCAGTTGTTCATCAGTAATTTAAGGGCACCCCCAAACCAGAGCACATTCTACAATAGGCAGAGCCAGCTGTCAGTCACACAGCTGGGCGGATCCCGGCACAGTATACTGAGGCGTCTCAGTGTACTGCGAGCTACGGCTCGCGGTATACTGAGCCTAGGGTGACGGGAGGACGCTAGTTTGTGTCCTCCCGTTACGAGAACTATGGGGAAAAGCCTTAACCTCATAGTTCTTTTAAGGCATGTGCAGACCACTAACAGCGTAACTAAATCTCCTATCTGCCGAGGACAGCGCCACCTTAGCGTCTGTTTAAATGTGCCGCTTCCTGGTTCCTTTGCATGTGATCAGATATGACATTAACCATTTGGGGACTTCAAAGACCAGTTGGCAGCTGACATTAGCACCCTGGCACATATGACAGGTATCACCGGAGGCATACCTTGAATGTAGCCCACACTGCACATGTGCTAGTAGGCTGAATGTAAATGACAACACTGCAGAGAATAAGATTGACATGTTTAAGGATTTATTAATGTTTACTGAACTTTTCTAACTTGAGCTTTCTTTTAGGTATCCATTAATCCGATTGGTTTAGTTTTGCATTAAGGGTCTTAAGGTGTCTGCAGCCTGTAGCAGTGTAGAATATGCTTGATTGGTACCAACTGATATGAATACTCGAGGTCCTCCTTTTATCTTTCAGGATCAGATACAGTCGTGGATTCGTGGAAATGTATCTAGCTGCCCTCGTTCCATATTCATATTTGATGAGATGGACAAGTTACATCCAGGTCTTATCGACACAATCAAGCCGTTCCTGGACTATTATGAGCAGATAGATGGCGTGTCATACCGTAAAGCTATTTTCATTTTCCTCAGGTACCAATTGGACCTCTCTGAGTTCTCTGATCTGCTTACTTGTTGTGATCAGTGACTCAAATAGTAATAAAGACAGTGAATCAGCATAGGAGCCAGGCAGCTGGCATTTTCAGAAGGGGGTCAGCAATGTCAGCTCATGTATTATTTTAAATATGAGTTTACTTAACCAGTTGACATCCGCGGTGTTAAACCCCCTTCCCATCCAGGCCGAGTGAAATAAACTCATCTCCACAGTTAGTCGACGTGTGACGCTGCAACTGTAACACGTCGGCTCTATTGATGGACAACTGAGTGATCACAAACCTCTGCAGGGAGAAGATCGTGAACTGAGCGATTAGCGACCATCAGTCAATGCTCCCCGTAGGGATTCCTCCCTCCCCTCTCTGTTCTTCCTGACCTGTTTGGAGGGACAGACAGGGGAAGGAGTGGGCACAGCTGGCTTTGCCTCTAGAGAGCTAGAGTCAGCTGTCAATCAGGCAACGGGGAGGATCCCGATAATATATATGCTGAGTTTCGGGTCACAGAAGTACATTAGTAAATGTCCCCCTGTGACCTAAAAGAGAATTATAGCCAAATATAGTTTTGGCCATAGTTCTCTTTTAATAAAAGCCCTCACGTGTTTACCTGCTATCAAGAGGTAACTATCTGCTGCCAATCCCCTGCCATTTTTTGTTTTAGCTGTGCCCCAGGGGGGACTCTGAGCAGCAGATCAGCACCTTTGCCTCATGCAGAACTCATCCCTTGCCATGGTCAGACCTGGGAATAGCAAAGGAAAATCAATAGGCTGGTCAGACAGTGTCGGGGGTTCTTATTAAAGTGACATTAAACCCTCAGATTTTTTAACATAAACCAATACTGTAATGTGCGCCTTACTGTAATCCATGGTTGTTTCCCTTCTCTTTGCTGCTCTTCCTTTTAAATCTGTATATGTTCCCATGCTCTGCAGAACTTCTGTTTTGCAGCAGACTGCCTTGTCTCAGGAATGGATACCCGGTGTCTGTGTATACGTTTCTATAGGCTTGTAACCTGAGCCAGCACTACAGGAAGAGGCCCTGAGCTGAAAAGGGGAAGTTCTCCCCAAGCATGAGTAGACATGAGGATTTAAAAGGAAGAGCAGCAAAGAAAAGGGAAACAACCATGGATTACAGCAAGGCGCACATTACAGTATTGGTTTATGTTAAAAAATCTGAGGGTTTAATGTCACTAAGTTGTTCCAATTAAGCAGCACCATTGGGTGGATGTAATCTCCGTTATTTTGCTTTTAAGAGAACCCGTACATTCAAGCCTATGTCTTGTGGTTCAAATGTATAAAATAGGTGCAGTTCTGCATATCTGTCACATGGGGGTTTGTTTTCTGCAATCGTTCACCAACATTAAGAATTGGTCTGACCTCAAATAACAATAAAGAGGCATGATTTTCAGCCCCTCTTGAATTTCTCTGTTTTTACAGATGAGTCTGTTGTCACATCTAAATATCTTTCTTTTTTTTCCCCTTCATTTGCTTTGTGTGTCTAACTACTTACTATTTGCCTTCCTAGATTTTGGTTTTCTGACACAGTGCTAATATAATACTTCCTTGTCTAACTAGTTTCATGGTTCAAGCAATGAGAAGGCATGCAGCTAAGGAAAAGGAATTATGCGTAGTTACCTGTATTACTATTTATAACCTGGCAACTGTTTTATGGTCTGACATGACAGTCAGAGGAACATTTTTATAGATTTTTTTTTAAATTTAATAATGGTTCATCAAAAGCCAAGATCATGGAAGAAAAAGCATTTGCACGTCTTCTGCCTCCATCACGTTTCGGGTGGCTCACTTCTGGCCCGCGCAAGACTTTGTGTTTAGAGAAACTGGCCGCCTGCCAAGATGGCAGACCCTACAGCTCTGGCACTCCTTCGCAGGTCTGGTGGGCTCAACCTCCCCACGAGTGGACCTCACACAGTTTGAGGAGACCTGCTTGATTGGAGAGGTAGTTGACCTGACCACAGTCTGTCCACATCTCATACGCTTTTGACACATCCGCCAGACCTGCTCGAACCGGTGTTCCTGGCTGAGTGGGAGAGAGACCTAGGAGCTACCTTCACTCGGTAACAGCAGGATACTATTTTCCATTTCGCACATAAGGCATCTCTGGCCAGTTCAGTCCAGGAAACGGGATATAAAATCCTTACAAGGTGGTACTTTGTCCCTACTATCCACAGGATGTTTCCTCAATCCTCCCCTAACTGCTGGAGATGTGGGTTGGGGAGGGGCTCCATCCTACATGTCTTTTGGTCTTGCCCACATCTTGGAGAGTTTTGGGATGCGGTCCTCGGAATGGTTAAACGACTTGCAGGGATATCGTTAAAAGATAATCCCGCGGCCGTCCGACTACACCTGTTCTCGCTCTCCAGGGCCCGCTACTGCAAATCGCTCCTGTTACACCTTCTGAAATCAGCCAAGGCATGCATACCCTTGTGCTGGAAAAGTTCAGACCCACCCACGCTGAGACTCTGGCTCAAAAAAGTCGATGATATCCGAGTGATGGAGGAAATGACTGCAACCCTCCACCACATGGATAGTAGCTTCAGGAAAACCTGGTTCTACTGGTTTGAACTTCTATACACACACGAGTGCGGGGCCTTGATGTCTTCCAAGCTCTATGGGGACTCCCTGGGGCAGCCGCCTCCTGCTGGGCCATGCGGTGTTATGGTTGGCCTGACCGACACTGCAAGTTCAGAAACTCCCTCTCATACAACCATGGCTCGGACTCGTCCGCAAGACGAGGCATGCCTGAGCAGTCTCCACACACCGATGCCCGGATCTTTCACCCCAGTCGGACCTGATAAATATATGGCTTTCAGGGTCTCTTGTGGCCCTATCGCATCCTTTGATACCAGCCTCTTCCCTTCACCTATCCTTTCTGTAGCCCTTCCCAAGAGATCTTCCGTTTCCCTCTTTGTTTATGTCGTGTCTCTATGTTAGCCCTAATGGAGCCTAGCTGCTGTTCAGAATACGGGTTTTGCTCTTACAGTCGGCCAGACACCCTACAATAACTACAAATATGTTATAATATGTAAGATGCTTATAAGCTACTGACTGCAAGGCCCACGTGATTGTGCCCCCTACATGCACTTTCTCAGGGCATTAGTTGCCCTAGCTCAGGTAGTCCTTGTATTGTCGACAATGCCTTGACTCTGTATGTATGTCGATTTATATTTGTCCCCATCTGTTTGACTGTAACATTGTAAACCTTAAAAAAAAAAGCCAAGATCAAATAATGGAATGAAGTTACAAGATTTGGGTCTTTGGGTTATCTCTTGAAAAATAATCTGTGTTTTTGCTCATCGGGTTTTTCTTTCTACATTTGACTGTGTTGAGGTAAACCAGACTACATCCCATAACTTTCATGTTTTCATTAGCAATGCAGGGGGCCATGTGATCAACAGAGTGGTGCTGGGATCCAGTAAGAGGAGAGAGGAGCTAAAGCTGCAGGATCTGGAGTCTGTGCTGGCTGTCGAGGTATTCAACAACAAAGACAGTAAGTGCTATTGGGTCAGGGCTGGGCATTTAAATGTGGAATTTGATCAGTTCAATTCAATGCGTATTGGTGACCTGACTCCTGGGATGTGTTTTGTCCTGTGCTGGAGTCTGCACGAAAAGTACATTATTTACATTGATCATGAAATCACAGAAAAACAAAATCGATGTTTTGGGACCACACAGGGTCCCTTCATCAGGCAATGTGATAACAGGTCTGTATACCTTTTATTCAGAGGGAGATTAGCACACTTCCAGTAACTGATCGCCCCTCCAATCACTGAAAGCGTAAGTGATGTGTATTACATCACTTCCGGTTTCAAACTGTCATTTCTCTCGCCGCTGTACCTGGAGAAGAAGCTGGTGAAGCAGATCTTTGCCTCATCGGCTTCTTTGGGGTCCCTAGGTGACATTAGAAATGTAATAGACCCCTGATGTCTCCATAAAGAAGAACTGTCATTGTGTCTGTGCTATCACATAGGGGGCTTGTTAGCCCCCTATGTGATAGCAATAAAGTTAAGGTGTTTAAAAAAAACAGTCGTATATAAACAATTTTTTAAAAACAACAAAACAAAAATTTTGGGTATGGTAGTGTTTGTGATTTTTAAGGCTTGACGTGTTTGTCAGACACAACCAAAAAAATTTAGCAGAATACATTTTGGTCTAAATGTATGAAAGATTATTTATTTGCAATGTTTCATAACATAATGTAGAGAGAACATTTTTTTTCTTCAAAATTTTCTGTACTTTTTTCCTTTTTATATAGTAAAAAATAAAAAAAAAACTCACTGGTGAATAAATACCACCAAAAGTAAGTGCTATTTGTCCCCAAAAATATATATACAAATAATTTCTGTATAGTGTTGTATGACAGAATACATTTCCGTCAAAGCACCTCAGCGCTGCATACTGAAAAATGGCCTGGACAGGAAAGGGGTTTAACACCCCGGGCTTCAAATGGTTAAAGGAGCTTCCTAATTTCCTAATTCTGCTTGAGCTTGCCCTCTCCCTCCTTCTGCACATTCCTGTTAGCCATTGAGGCTGCCCATCATGTTGATCAGCCAATAGGAATGTGTGGGCATAGTAGCAAGCTCCAGCACTACCTGGAAGTGTCTGAAGTATACTTGATGAGACAGCCTGGCATTTAGCAGAACAGAGAATTGTAAAACCATTTAACCTCCCTGGCGGTCTGATTATGCAGTATTTTTGCATGCCAAATCGAATTTCCCCACGAACCGCTATCGCTCAATTCTGCAAGTGATTCTAAATCACTATCGCTGTTTTCTAGCTGTCTAAAACCGTTTTTGACCTAAAGGGACGCTTTTTGCATGCCATAGACGTTCTCAAGTTTCCGAAAGAACAGTGAAAAGAGAAAAAAATGGAGGCCGGGCACTGGACAAAGCTCTAGATCAGAGGGGGCCCACAATTTTTGTGTTAAGATCTACTTTTCAAATGATGAGCTACATGAGATCTACCAACGAAAAAAAAAAACCTCCATCGCTCTCCTGGCTGTCTCTCCTTGCTCATCCTCCTGGCTGTCTCTCCTGGCTCTTTCCTCGCTCTCTCTCCTGGTTGTATCTTCTCTCTCTCTCTCTAGGCTGTCTCTCCTTGCCCTCTCCCCTGGCTGTCTCTCCTCTCTCTCTCTCTCTCAGCCCTGGCTGTTTCTCCCCTCACTCTCTCCTGGCTCACCTTGATGTATGTTGCAAACAGTGTAGTGCAACAGGCTGTGTAAACTAATAATCTTTGATGTAATACATAGCACTTCAACCACCAGAAAGGTGTCAGGGAGCTTGGCTCAGCAGACTCACGCTAAAAGGTACTCATGTGTGCACAGCTAAAAAAATATACCAAAATGGAATAAAGGGGCCGCCATTCACACCCTTCGTGATCTACCAGCATCAGCTTCGAGAGCTACTGGTAGATCACGATCTACCTAATGAGCACCCCTGCTCTAGGGACAAAACTGAAGTGATATGGTTTGATACAGTAATTATAGCAGATTACATTGTATTGTGTGTATTCTGTGTATATTGCATGTTTTCACTTTTGAATTTCCCGCCGGCTCCGGAACACTTTTGTGCAATCCTGAGTGTGGCTCGGGGTTACCGCTATTGGTGCTGAAAATTAACCCCGAGCCACACTCGGGAATACCACCAGGGAGGTTAAAGGTATGTGCACCTCTGGGTACCTGCACCTCATACCTACGAGCTGCTTTCAGTAGTCTTCCAGTCATAGTCTCCTTCAAGAGGATTATAATGTGATTGATCAGGGTTGACCAGATGCGACTGCCTTCATTACTGTTATTCCACCATGTTTTTGTATCCCTAGATGGCTTTTGGCACTGCAATCTGATTGACAAGAATTTGATTGACTTCTATGTCCCTTTTCTACCGCTGGAGTACAGACATGTAAAGCAGTGCGCCTTGGCGGAGTTAAGACATCGGGGGCTAAAGGCCGATGAAGAGCTGGCATCCCTTGTGGCTAAAGAGATGACTTATTTCCCTAAGGACCTTCGAATATTCTCTGATAAAGGCTGTAAAACTGTCACAGCAAGACTGAACTTTCATCTGTAGTCGCTGCTGTCTGGTTAAGCCAGCTGCTGGTCAGTAGAGGCGCGATCCTCTTCCCTTTATCCTTGTACTGAGCATACGAGATTGGTTATTATTCCATGAATGACTGCTGCACATTTCGCTGATTTCTCAGGAATTCCTCAGCACGGCCTTCCCTGGTATCACCATTATGAAGGCGAAAGTATTTCTTGACTCCCCACACAGCGCACTTCATTCCTGGTGTGTTCAGCCTGCATTGTGACCTGTGCTTTAAACTTGTAGAATTATTTACACACCAGACAGATTCAGACTTTCAGGACATGTTTGTATCTGGTGGCTGTGAGGAGGTAACTTGTGGTCTCAAATTTTTTTTTTACTGTTCTAGAAACACGAAAACTGCCATTTGATGACCTGGAACCCAAAAAACCTCATTTTTCCAGGTCAGTGGGCAAGTTAGGCCAGGATCGGGATTAAAATCACTAGTGACTGCTCTAATATTACTGTATTCATAATTGCCTTTAAAGAGAACCAGTATTAACTGAGCTTATGCAGAAATGTTTTTATTTACGTTTACGTCATTTATCTGAAGATGACTCTGGGCTGAGGGGCAGTGCGGAGAGTCCCTTTTAAAGTCTGACAATTGTTGCCATGCCAGCTGCCTGAACTTTGCTAATGGTACTTGCGGTCTTTCAGCTCCTAAGTGACCTTAACAGCATCACACACAGAGCCATGTAGTTGCTCATATTCCTCCTAATCACAGTGCTCTAGTATGTGATAATGTATTGCATGCTTGGGGGATGGCATGTGCCATCAGCATGAGGTCAGACATTTGGCAGATCAACAAGTGTCAGGCATAAGGGGACATTTACATTATCAGACACTTACCATACAGGCCAATCACTTTTTAGTTATTTGCGGATTGCTAAAAAAGAGGGGGGGGGGGGAGAGACACCCTCTGGAAATACACATAGGAAACAATCCTCACTTGCACAACTTCATACTCGTTTGTTCCTCAGTGAGAAAATATCGCCAACCCATAAGAGATAATATCACCAACAGACAGCCAAGGTGAATTGCCTCTGCTAATTTCCAGGGCCTAGAATCCTCCACAGAAGCAGATAGTCTTTTATAAGGGGCAAATATACATCGATCTGTTATAGATAACCTGCATGATATAATAATGTAAGGCTTAATATTCAAATTTTTTGCATAAGCCCAATTGTGCCTGGTTCTCGTTCAGTATTGTCATCAGTCCACTCAAACCAACATGGTTCATCCAACTTGTTTTTAAATTCCTTTAGTTGTGTTTTAAAAAAATACACCAAATTTGTATCAAGTGTATCACTTTGTTTTCTTGTTTACTAATACTGTTTTGATGCCATGGATCACTATTTTTCACTTGGGTAAAACATTATAATATATTTCATGTAGTATAGGAAAAAAAAAATCTGAAATGAAGGGCTTTTTTTTTCCGTTATGTTTTATAATTCCAATCAACGTGAATTAAATAGTTTTGAATTATTTAATGAAAGTGTAGTGCAAGTACCTACCTCTTGCAATCACCTGTACAGCAGTACCAGGACTGAGATCCGGCCTGCATGAGCTGCATGCAAATATCTTAACAAGAAACATACTTCTAGGAGAGAATAGAGCGAGTAGACGGATGACCGTATTTGCTGTTGCTGCTCCTCTACTGTCCAGGCAGTGAGAAGAGGACATCACTGTAATACAAATTCATTGGCAGGTAAACAGCTCTTCTAGCATTTCAACTATACATTTTAAGTTCAGCTTTAAATGGACTTCCACTTCCAATGAGAACACTTTATATTTACCCATCAGCTGGGTATTTTAGATGGTAGAATCATTTTCATCTGTACCACTGATAAGATGCGGCATCAATCCATGAGTGTGTATGTGCTTATATTATATACATGAAAACTGATTCCATCTTATTGCCAAATGAACAGACTGGAAGCCATGGATACACCTTGTAATGCTTCTATGTAAAGTACAGATTTTTATATAAGTAATTATAAAATTATAGAAAACATCAGTTTACAAACTTGAAAACTAAGAAATACAACTGACTTCAGACCAGGAAACCTGTCATGATAAACACATAGGCTGCTATTGCTTATCTCCTTGTGGTTGGGATGCAGCTCCTGTGTCTTAATACGTTCTGTTACTGGACTGGAGACAGATATGCAGTCCTGATGTCACTTGCTGCCTGCTTTTCTGGCTCTGTGGAATGTTCAGAAGGTCAGCAGTTGCAGCCTGAATGGAGACTACAATGTTTTGGGGTCAATTTTATAATCCTATTTTATAAGGCTTTTAAACTGATGTTTAGAATTGATGATCTATATTTTTTTTTTTTTACTGTACAACCTTTGTTTTACAATGAAATAAAGTGCTATAAATAGAGAGAACACAGCGGACTCTCTTCCCTTTCAGACTTCTTTCCTTTTGTTGAAAATGTGTGTGGAGCTCTGTGAACAGATCTGTGTGAGCACATTTCAGATGTAGCATAAAGCTCCACCTGTAGGCTGACTACAAGATTATATACAATATTGCCTATTGTTCCCCAGGTGAAATGGATATGTAAATATATTTCAATCACTACAATAATATTCACATAAACACCCCTAGATCTGAGGATTCTTAGACAAAAGAAGTAGTTCAATCAGCAATATACATTTATTGGCAGGGTTACATATTTACAAATAAACCTGTCTAACCCCTAAGGTTAAAAGCAGAGGTTTAGATACACGTCTTAGACGTGTATCTTAACCTCTGCTTTTAACCTTTGTGGTTAGACAGGTTTTTTTGCATGCTGGCTGGTGAGTGTGCCGGGAATTTTTTTTGCTGTTTTACTGATTAAAGCCCTTCCATGTGCACCTTGCTGTGGAGCTGGTAATGAATTGATGAGTGCGTTTGCCATTTGTTTTGCTTGACATATTTACAAATAACACACAAAACAATATTTACAGGTCAATGTACAGTACAAGTGCGGTGGAGTTTTACTCTCCGCCTGTTCATCCTGAATGCCTTTGTGTCCTAGGTGAGAGAGAGCACATGGCTTGCTAACAATACCTTGTATACACTCCTTTCTGTACAGTGGCTACCAAATGTGCATTGGGCGTTACCTGATTGGAGGATTTAAATAAGGTTGCTGTTTATCCCCCCCATGTGAAATGTGATAAGCAAACAAAACAATAGCTAGGACTTTAAAGCAGACAGATTCACAGTAACACAATTGAGGAACTGAGAGTCACATAACATGCAGATGGATGCAGTCAAATATATATATATTATCTAATGAATATATTACACAAGCAAAACTTTATATGACAACACTATTATTTTGATGAAAAAAGTACAATTAGATGTGACTGTAATAAATATACTGTATTTGCCGGTGCATAAGGCAAGTTTTTAGACTTAAAAACATCCCCTGAAAATTGGGGGTCGTCTTATACGCCGGGTATACAATGTCAGCCCGCTGGATGTGCGGTAATACTGTATGTAGCTTTGGCTACATACAGTATACCGGGCTGAATCAATCACGGCGAGCGATGTATGCCAGGGCTCAAAATTTCCACTCGCCCCCTCGCAAATTGCGGGTGAAAATTGCGTGGGGGCGAGTGGAAATTAAGCTATTGAGTCTGGCACTGTCATGGACAGAAGCAGCTGCTCGTCCAGCCATAGATCGGATCCTGCAACTCCTCCTCAGAGCGCAGAGCTGACTAGAGGAAGCGCCCTGGCTGCTTGCATTGCACATGCTCAGTGCAAGTTTTCTTTCCCAGAAAGCGTCAGTGTACCCTGGGCAACCCGGCCGGCCGTGGCTCTGAAACCCGATCTTTCTGCTGTAACTGAGTAAACTCTGCAGACGTTAGAGCAGTGATTAACCCCTACTGTGCCACAGGATCTATACAGTTTGGACACACAAATGTATTGATTAATATGAGCGAATGTGTTTGTGTAATGTAATGCTGCTGGTGTGCCCTGGGTGTAATGCTGCTGGTGTGCCCTGCGTGTAATGCTGCTGGTGTGCCCTGCGGGTATGCCATGTGTGTAATGCTGCTGATATGCCCTGCGTGTAATGCTGCTGATATGCCCTGCGTGTAATGCTGCTGATGTGCCCTGCGTGTAATGCTGCTGATGTGCCCTGCGTGTAATGCTGCTGATGTGCCCTGCGTGTAATGCTGCTGGTATGCCCTGCGTGTAATGCTGCTGGTATGCCCTGCGTGTAATGCTGCTGGTATGCCCTGTGTGTAATGCAGCTGGTATGCCCTGCGTGTAATGCTGCACATAATGTCCTGCGTGTAGTGCTGTATGTATGTGTAATGCGCTGCATGTTGTGCTGTGCGTGTTTTGTCATGTGTTTGTGCTATGCCCGGTATTGGTCCAGCAAGAGAATGATTAGTTTGTTCCCAGGTACACTCGGTACATCTGTGCACAAGAAGGATAGGATGGAGTGGGGTCAGGCAGGGCAACTGGTGGCGAGTAACTTTTAAGGCCTGGCTAGTAGCTCAGGACCTGAAATTTTGAGCCCTGATGTATGCTATTAATACAAAGCCTGCTCGGATTGGCAGAGGTGTACATTGCTCGCCGTGATTGGCTCAGCGCGGTATACTGCATGTAGCCGAAGCTACCGTACATACAGTATTACCGCACATTCAGCGGGCTGACAGATTAGCCTCCCTGTCGGTCTGATTTATTTATTTTTACTTTTAAAGTTCCCGCCGGTTCAGCCCCTCTGCGACGCGGACGCTCGCAAGGGACGGAACCCGGAGGGCACAGCGGGGATCGTGGACAAGGTAAGAGACTGTCATCCCGAGTGTGGCTTGGGATTACCGCTTATGGTACTGAAAATTAACCCCAAGCCACACTGGGGAATACCGCCATGGGGGTTAGTGGGTGTATTTAAACATTATTTTAGGCTATACTCGTCTTATATGACGAGTATAGCCCAAAACCTATGTTTTAACAGAAAAATTAGAGGGTCGCCTTATACGCCGGCAAATATGGTAAAAC